GTACATGTAAGGCTGGATTGACAAGTCTACTGTTGTTGACATCTTTATACTTTCTTGCCATCTGCCATCACTAATATACACCTTCATACACATTCATTTTTGTACTGTACTTTACGATGTATACTGTATATGTATATAAATAAGCATATGTGTTTATGTATATGTGTATATGTGCATTGATACATTACTATATATCACATGTGTATATTGTGGGGTTTTGTTTGTTATCTTTTATTAATCTTTCATTATTCTTCTCAGCGTCTCTTGTATTAAGCTGCAGTAATGTGCAAATTTCCAGATTGTGGGATCAATAAAGTTTTATCTTATTTTATTTTATCTTAGAAACAGTTTTTAGTCGGTAGATAACTGTGTTTTTGCTATGAAACTACAAATATGGCCGAACGGGGTGGAGTCGAACGCTCAGCGACCTAGAGGGGGCGGGGTGTGAAATATCTCATTTGTGTTTAAAGAGACCGCACCAAAACGGCTTGCTCTGAGGCGCAACTCAGAACAGGGGSAAAGCAAGGAAAGCAAGGAGTCTGTGGAGCAACAAAAACGAGGAATTAAGACCAAAGCGTTGCAGTTTTATTTTAACTAGACCATAAGTGAATGATTTAGATGTGAAAAAGAAGGATTTAAAAGCATGATATGATACCTTTTAAACAAAGTCTTCAAATTTTAAATCATGCTGAGGTCGGGGCTTATGGGAAGAATATTCTAGAAGTTTATTGTCCAGTTCTGATGTGTGTTTGGGATCAAATTAACACTAAACTGTCCAAATTACAACCATCTAGCTGTTGATTTGAGGTGAAATAGAAGAGTTTAGAGGTAGATCTGCTCCTTCATTCTTTTACCCACTTTGTTCCGTACATGTTGGCTGAACAGCTGGGACTCTGGCATTCCAGCTGTTTAGGACAGGACAGATGTGGTTCTTGTGTTTCCTGTATTCTGATTAGGCTTTGGTTGTATGATGGTATCTCGGTATACCTTGGAATTGAAATATGGTGATGGTACAAAATGAAGATTGTGTATTAATCATGTGAAGCACCAAATTTCCACAAGTCTGATCTGAAAACCGTGTGAACACAAACAGAGAATAATGCAGCAGAAGCTTTATTAGTGTTTATTAAGAGTGCAGCTTTTTTTACATCGAAATTACAGTGCGTGACAAAGTCTGCAATTTAATATGCATTAATTGAATTATATATTTCTCATTTAAATGACTTATATAGGTGTAAACCAATTTCACATACCTGGAATGTAATTGTGGCAAAGCCGATTAAATGTAAAAATGACCTGCCATACTTGTGAGCTCCACATCTTTTCGTCTCTGTAGTTAAAAAAATAAAGCTTTCCTCCTCCGACTCTGATGTGAAAAACAAAACAACTATGGTTGTTAAAGCTTCGCTCTGCGCAGCGTACAGCGGGTAGGCAGAGGGAGGAATTCTGAGGATTTATCCTCCACAACACAAGATTTTAGTTACCGTATATACAAAAATTTTTTAAACTTATTGTGGTACTACATTAGTGAAAAAAAAACAGTTAAAATTTACTCCTGTAATTATTAACACGACCCCTCARCTTTATGGAWKGGGKGGGKGGGTCTGTTCTGTTAGGAGCGTGGGTCACCCTTTTTGTACTGTGGTACGGGAAATACTGTAATATGTTGGTATGAACAAGATCAATACTAGGGCTGGGTGGTATGACCTCAAATTCATATCACAGTATAAATTGAATACCTTCACAGTAACTGTATATATTGTGGTAGAAAATTATCACAAAAAGCAAAAATAATGTAATTTTTAGAGCTTTTATTTTGCAGAAAATTGTAATCCTAATCAAACCCAGCATTTCTGATGTAGTGCAAATGAACATAAGAGAAGTACAAAAGAATGGTAAATGGACTGAACTTATAGAGCGCTTTTCAAGTCCCTCCGGACCCCAAAGCGCTTTACACTAACAGACATTCACCCATTCACACTCACATTCACACACTGATGATGGCAAACTACACTGTAGCCACAGCTGCCCTGGGGCACACTGACAGAGAYCGCAGAATGTTTTATATATATTGTAAAACTGTTTCAACAACAAACATTTCTCAAATTTTCAACAATATCAAAATAAAGTGGATATTATAACCAGTTCTTCAAGTAAAATGAGTCATTTAGACATAAAAAAWAATTCTAAGCTGGCAGAAGTTGCCTAAAATGTTATAGTGTGACAGGACCTGAAGGGGCTTAAGCTGCACATAGTTCTAGTCATAAAACAATTTCAGATAACTGGAATGTAAGTGTGGTGAAGCCAAATAAATGTAATATTGGCCTGCCATACAATGAGCGTCTGCCTGCTGGTCTGTTGCTCTCAGAAGCCGACTGTTACATTAGCAAGATGGATTTATGACTGAACGAACGTCCACATCTTTTATCATCTCTGTGGGTAACAATACATAAAAAACAAGTTTTTTCTTTGACAACTTGGGTGTGAAAAAACTACGGTTGTTAAAGCTTCACTCTGCGYGACGAGCAGCGGGAGGGAGGAAATGATCCCGTGTCCCGCGATACGACATAACCTTTCCACAGTAGGAGGGGGAAATTTTGAGGATTTATTTTCTCTATACTTGTTTTAAAACTATATTTCTTCATTATACTGTATTTGAACTCCTCCTGCTCAGTTGTCTCTGCACTCGCAGCCCTGTTGACACAGGTGTGATGACGTAACTGATGACAGGACGGTAGAGGATAAATTTCTATCGTAGGCCAACTTCATACTGTTTCTACCATCTATCACAGAAACCACACAGCCCTAATTCTGATAAGTATATAAATACTGTAGTAAACTGTATGTTCTCATGTTATATCTGGTTTCCTTTTTGTTATTTTCTTCACCAGACAGACCCTCACTACAGCATACTGTCACTGCTGCTCTTCCTCTCAGATTCTCCCTCAAACACAAACTTTACAGAGAGACCCAGGGTGAAGGAAGCCGGTGAGACGATGTTTCATTTGTAAACATCTTTTTTTAAAATCTCCACACACTCACAGTAATCAGTGAAACTGGTGTGTGTGCAGAACCAGAGGACAACTTCGACTGGGCCAAATATTTGATGGAGGGCGAGGACATTGACACCGGGCCGTATCCTGATACCCCTGTGAGTAAATCATCCCAGATGCACCACAGGACCCTCACATGCTGCTTCACTGACAGAACAGCCGTTCATMGTCTCATTTAGACGAGTCTGATTGTGATCTGGCTGCTCTGTAGGAGTGGTCTGACGATGAGAGCGAGGACGACGACAGTCAGCAGCCAATCAGCAGGGAGGACTCTGGGATCCAGTTGGACAGAACCCCCCAGGAGGACCAAGACAACGCCAGTGAAACAGTTCCATTGGCGTGGACAGGTGTGATGCAGTTTCACAGTAAAATAAATCTTAGAAAGTGAATAATGTTTAAGATTTTGGAACAATGGGCCTCATGCAAGAACATGTTCGTATTCTTCTCCTAAATTTCTCTTACTTTTGTTCGTACAAAGGGTTCGT